TGATTTTTTGATTTATTGTAGAGATGAGGTCTTGCTGCCCAGGTGAGTCTCGAACCCGTGAGCTCAGGCAATCCACTCATCTCAGCCTCCTAAAGGCGCGGGATTACAGGCTGAGCCACCGAGCCTGGCTTCTTCTTCTTCTTCTTCTTTTTAAGCATATTTTTTATTATAAAATTGTGGGGGACAGTTAAGGGTTAGGTATACAAATGTGCATCATTCAGGCACCCTTGTTAATAAGGGGTGTCTCCCCATCCCCAGACAGATATTGACTACCGTTAGTACCACCTCCATGAATTCTTTTTTGACTCCTAGATTCTTTTGGGAGTATGTTGCAATTTCCTAGCTTATAGGTACTTTATTAGTTATCATTTTATTATTGAATTTTTAAGCCTACTTCTAGTTAATCAGATAATATATTCTGTATTGATTTTAGTTCTTTGATATTTGCTATGACTTACTTTATGGTCCAACTTATAAGCTTACTGAAATGTTTCTTCTGGATTTGAAAACTATGTGTTCACTGCATTTGTGGGTGCTGTAAGTTTGTTAATTATATTGTTAAATATTTTGTATTCTTTTTTTTTAAAGTGAGAAAGCAGGATTTATTGAGAGAATAGAAAAGCTCCCACAATGGGAGGGGACCTGAAGGTGTTGTCCAATATTTTGTATTCTTACTGATATTTTTGTCTACTTTTTTCTATCACTTACTAAGAGAGGTATGTTAAAATCTTTCACTATGACTGTGAGTTTATGTCATTTCTTCTATTTGTCAGTTTAGTCTTAATGTTATGATGAGGTCATGTTAGTTGTGTACATAGTTATAGTATTATATCCCCTATTGAAGAGATTATTTTAATTATGCAATATCTCTATTTCTAGTAATAATTTTTTGTATTAAAGTCTACCTTCTCTAATATTAATAGAGCTAAACTGGCTTTATTTGGTTAGTGTTTGCATGTTGTATCTTTATCCACAGTTAATTTCAAGCTTCTTGTATCCTTATATTATAGATATGGTGTGTCCATTGCAGATAGACATGATTGATTTTCAGCCTTCCATCTTTCTAAAACTCAACTGGAGTTGAGGCTTATTTTTTTATTTTATCTGACAATGTTTGTCTTTTAATAGAAGTACTTATGTCTATTTTCCTTTATTGTATTTACTGACACATTTGGGTTTACCCTACCACTTTTCTATTTGCTTTTTCTTTATATGTTTTGTTCTGCATTCTCCTTTTTTAAAATTGATTTTGTCTTTTTATTATTCCATATTCTCTCCCATTCACTTATTATACTTTTTAAACTAGTCTTTAATGTCTGTTATTCTGTAATGCCAGACATTGCTAATTGAGCACAGAACTTATTTCCACAGAGCCCAGATACAGTCTAAGAATCTTTCACACAGCATTTCAATTATTTAGGATTGGGAAGCAAAATAAAACTCATTTTCCATTTCTGGTCTAGAAAGGCATGCAGTCAGTAAGTCAGGATAGGGTTTCTTAAGTTTATCTTAAGAATCACCTAGAGTGCTTATTAAGAGGACAGATTCTTGTGTTCCACCCCAAACCTTATGAATCCGTGTCTGAAGGGGAGTTCACTGAGAAATAGTATGTTTCACAAAGGTCCCAGTTGAGTCTTATTATGATAAGGTATGTTTGGGAAAGTCTGGGCAATATTACACCACCCAAAACACATTGTTGGCTGGGCGCAGTGGCTCTTGCCTATAATCCTAGCACTTAGGGGGGCCGACGTGAGAGGATTGTTTGAGCCCAGGAGTTCGAGAGCAGCCTAGGCAACACAGCGAGACTTCAGCTCTACAAAAAAAATTAGCTGGGCATGGTGGCATGTGCCTGTAGTCCCAGCTACTTGTGAGGCAGAGGCAGGAGGATAGCTTGAGCCCAGGAGTTTGAGGTTGCAGTGTGCCATGATTATATTCAGCCTGGACGACAGAATGAGACACTGATTCAAAAAAAAAAAGTTGTTGAATGACTTAGATCATCCACTAACAGGTGGGTGCAGAATGAGTTTGAACTATGTACTGTTTTTGTGCTGAAGTACCATTATAACCTAATGATGCTTCCTAGGTGGCACAAGAAACCCTGAAATTCTGTGAAGGGGTTAGCACCACTAGGTTGGCAGGGAGGAGAAAATGGAGAAGAAATCACTATTAAAAGGTATGTACAGCAAAGAGGACATTTGTGCTTGTTTTCCTTGGGCTGTGGCAGGACAAAACATTTCTGAGAGGCAGTGAAGGGTAAGAGACAGGGCAATTAGCAGGATATATTTCTCTCTTCAAGCCCAGAGTCTGTGCGGGAAACCTTTTAGTAGATGCTTTCAGGACTCAGTGAGCTCATACACACATAAACTACTCAATGTAAGCAATGTCTAATTTACAACAAACATTTAGCTTTATATCTAGATATTTCGGGACATTAATATTGACAGTGAAACTTTTTTTTTTTTTACTCTAGCAGAGTAGCATATAACTATGACTTCACCAGTAGGTTTAATTTATCAAATTTCTTTTGGAACAGATTTGGAAAAAATCTCTCTCTACTGTACACAAAATTTAACTTCAGTTCTCTAGTAATGTTATTAAGGTGGTAACATTCTCCATATCAAAGGGAATGTTTCTCTCCAGTGTCTGAAATGAAAAACAGGTGCAAGTCTTCTGATATCCTTTATGAGATTGGGTTATAAACCAGACCAGTGCTTTCCAAACTTATCTGCACACTGGAATTGCCCTGGGAGCTGAAGAAATATTGACAGCTGTGCCCTTCCCAAGACTGAGATTTAATTGGTGTGGGGTGTGACAAAGGCTTGGGATTTTTGAAGAATCACCCTGGTGGTTCTAATGTGCGGCAAGTTTGAGAGTTTCTAAACTGGAGATTTTGAGCTATGCATTTCAAACCTCAAGCCTCCAGACAGTGTAAAGCTTAGGTTTCTGTCAGGTTTAAATCGAGACAGTGAGTTCAGTCTCATTGGATTTAATGAGTTGCAGTCTATATAGGTAAACACATTATTTATATAAAGTGTTATGTGCACATGCAAAGTCACACACACAAATTATCAATATTCAAAACAACAAGGATTTTAAAGTAACTGTCATAGTAGGTATATTTTTGCAATTAGCGCTGCCAGATAAAATACAAAGAGCATAGTTCAATTTGAATTTCAGATAAACAACAAACAATTTTTAGTATAAGTATGTCCCATACAATATTTGGCATATACTTATACAAAAAATTGTTTGTTTATCTGAAATTCAAGTTTAACTACATGCTCTGTATTTTTATGTGCTAGATCTGATTATAGTGCCCATTTTAAAGGACTAAGATGAGCACTAATTCAGTGTACTAGGACAAATCAAGACAAAAATTTACCCTAGCTTTTTGCTCATTGTGTGATCTTCTATTTTCTGAATTACATTTTCTGATTAACCACCTCAAGCTCTAATGACTTTGTCTGCACTGAGGGCCAACTGTACCTTATTCTGCCTCTTCTGTCTTCTTCGGAGGCGCAGGAACTCTTTGTGTTGCCTGGAGACAAAGTTCACCGCTGCATATTCCAGTAAGGCAGCAAACACAAACAGAAGGCACACCGCCATCCAGATGTCAATCGCTTTTACATAGGAGACCTGGGAGGGAGGAGGGAGGAGGGGGAGAGAGAAAGAGAGAGAGAGAGAGAGAGAGAGAGAGAGAGAGAGAGACACTTATGAAATCTTGCTGGGAAACCAGATTTCCTAAGGTGTGAGTAGCAAAATAACCCCCTTTCCTTGGCCGAGGATTTCTAGCCTTTACCTAAGTGCTTAAGGAGTGCATCAATCCCACTCTGAAATTCTGGGCAGAGCAGTGGAAGTTGCATGCCCACCCTGCCCTGGGCCTTTTTTCCATCTCTCTCAGTATAGTCCACCTACTCAAGTAGTTTTATCCTTGAGACCAAAGATGACCTCAAAAATTCCCTTAATAAGATTAACTTGTAAGTGTTCTTGCCATAAAAAATATGTGAGATAATGCATATGTTAAATAACTCAATTTAACTATTCCACAATGTATACACATATCAGAACATCACGTTGTACATCATGAATACATAAAATTTTTATTTGTCAATTAAAATAATAATACATAATTATTTCAATAAAAAAGAAAAACAAAACTTTGAGGCAAAATAGATTGGACACGATCATTGAAACTGCTCACTTCCTTCTTTTTTTTTTTTTTTTTAACATTTTTAAACCAGTGTAATTAAGATAATTCAAAAACCTGGATGAGAAATAAACTATGTATGGCCTTAAGTCCTTCAAAAGCCAATTTGTAATTTCCTTCAATTTACAGACCCTAACTGACATGAAAACACAGTTCTAAATAGTTTTACACCCTCGCATTTAAGAATATTCAACCAAAATGAAACATCAGGGTTCTAGCCTTGAGAAGGTATCTAGCTAACAAGAAAACTTTTATAACACTTCACTGTTTGCTTGAGCATTCAGTAAGTCTTATAATTTGACAAAGTGGATTCTGAAAGCAAACACTTTTTACTTGTAGTGAAAAATGTCCCTCATCTTACTTGGTTTACAACTATTTTTAAAGTATAAAAAGAAAAGATACTTAGACGAAGTTATAAAATACTGTATCCCAGTCTACAAAGGATACTTGGTGTCTGAATGTGTACTATTCACTTCTAATTTTTAAATAGAGTTTCCTATTTTTTTTTTTTTGGACAGGCTTGGTTCACTTTTTGTGTGTGTGTGTAAAAACCCTATGTTATTGCCACAGCTGGAGCCTGGGTCCTCTGCATGAAGACTCTGGTGTGGGTCTTGACAAGATGGTGGGTGAATTCCTGATAGGGAGACTTGGTGAATACAGTCTCTTTCCAGAGACTCTTTCACGGGTCAAGTAGCTATAGGTCTTACAGATGGCATCAAAGGTGGTCTTGGCAAAGTCGCCTAGGGTGGCAGTGCAGCCCCTGGCCGAGGTGTAGCAGTCATCGATTCCAGCCATCATTAGAAGTTTCTTGGGCACGGGGGCCTAGAGGATGCTAGTGCCCCTGGGGTCAGGGATAAGGAGCACCAGCACAGAGCCACAGCAACCGGTCACCTTGCAAGGGACTGTGTGCGGCTTGCCAATCTTGTTCCTCCAGTAGCCTCTCTGCACAGGGATGATGGAAAGCTTGGCCAGGATGATAGCCCCTCGGATAGCGTTGGCTACTTCCTTGGAGCACTTAACATCCAGACGGACATAGTCCCTGATGGCAACAAATGCCTTGAACCTAGTTGCTGGCCAGCGCGGGTCTGCTTTTGCAGGGGCATGATCTTCATAACCTCATACTTCAGAGACGTGCCAAGGAAGAAGTCGATGATCTCAGACTTCTTGATTGATGGGCAGAGAGAAGAGGTAGATCTCCTCCAGCGACTTGATCTTCAGGTCCTTGACTAGGCGGCCAAGCTTGGTGACGAGCATCCACTCCTTTTCCTCGATTTTGCCTTTGCGAGCTCTGGGACCCCTCCCCCGACCCCAACCACAGCTGCAACCTAGGCCACGAGGCCGCTGCCCAAACCTCCACGGAAGCTGCCGAGGCCTTCTATGGGGGTGGGGGCGGTCGTGGTCTCGGGGTCCTCCCGCTGTACTGGTGTCATCCGCCATTTGGTGTTTTCTTGGAGAAGAAAAGAGTTTTCTATTTTTTGATAGCTGTCACTAAGTGCTTTCCAGCCAGTATTTTAAATACTTTACATGTATTAATTTTTAACCCTTACAACAACTGTATTTTCCCTATTTTCTAATGAGAAAGCTGCAGTACAGAGAGGTTAAATTATTACCCAATATTACAAAAGTAATAAGTGACAGAGCCAAGACTGGAATTGGAACTCAGTCTGACCAGTGGATTCTCATTCTGAACACACACAAACACACTACTAGGATCATACAGTTTGTATCTTTTCCCACGTTATTTATTTTTCTTTTAGATTATAATTTCCAGTGTTTGTGTAATGGTCTACACCATGATTAATCAATACACATTATAAAACATTTGGGTTGTTTTCTTATTTTTTGACTATAAGTTTTGCTGCTGTAAACATTCCTTGCCAAAATTTTTGACTATATCTCTGATTATTTGTTAGACCAAACTTTATATGACTTACAGGAGTAAATACATGAAAATAGACTCTTGACTTGAAAAGTTAGCAGCAGCACAGAGGACATAAAAGCAGATTCGGGAGAGATATGCCCCAAGTAAGAAACACTGGTTTGTTACTATCTCTATAACTTTGTTATGCTCTTTAATCTCTCTCTGCCTCTGTTCCTCATCTGTATAATAAGAACGATAATACTGTAGTACCTATCTTATAGAATTGTTATTTGGATAAAATCACTTAATATATGTAAATAGCTTAGAATAGTGTCAAACAGATAATTGGTTATATAAGGATGATTTTGTTAATGGAGGAATCCTGAAGAAAAAAAATTAACAAGGAAAATACAACCTACCCACAATCCTAATATATTCCAATTATTATTTTTAAGAGAACCACCTGCCTTACATTATTTGTCTGAAAAATCTGAACTACTTGTATCCACATGCATTGTGAAAAAATGACCCAGAACTTCGTTATTTCCAACCTTTTGAATATGTTACTCTTCCTACATGGGGTTTTTATTTCCATTCTTTCTGATTAACAGACTCCACAGGAGTCTTCAGAATTGGCTCAGACATCAATTCCCCTGGGAAGCCTCCCTAACCGTTCCCCTTCCTCTCATCTGGGTTAGGGGCTACTTTTCTTTGTTCCTTTGTCACTATCTATTGAACCATTCTGTTTCTTTTTTGCCTAGTAGCTTTCTTGACTGTAATTCTAAGACTGTAAGTTTGTTTTTTTAATGATAGGCCTTGTGCAATATTATTCTTTGTGTTACCAGCACAGGATCTGGCAAATAATGGAAAGACATTAGTTATGTGGGATAGATAGATGGATGGATGGGTAAATAGATGATTAATGAATCAATGATGAATGGATGGATCGATGGTTGACTGAATGAACTGAAAGGGAAGGCAAGAGAAGAGGGAAGGAAGGAAGGAGGGAGGGAGGGAGGGAAAGAAGGAAATATCTAGCTATCTTTTCATCTTTGTGCTTTAATTTCAACAATTCTAAACAATATACTATTACCCACAATTGTATATATTTGATACTTTTAAGAGTGAACTATTAGTGACTTTTTATTTTCTCAGCATACTTAACATTCCTGGAATGTTTCTTTCCTCAATAAACAATAATTTTTCTTATAGTTACTCTTCTGGAACAATCCTATTTTCCTGTAATAATAGAACATTACCAATCACAGCATTCAGATTATATATTATTTAGATAGCCTGTAAATATTTGAAGACCCAATAATGAGAAGAATATGTCAAAGCCTGAGAAATATCCATACCAAGAGCTAGGTCCAATAGAGCTGACGATTCCTCCCTTTCCTGGTGTTTACAGCGTTCAGTAATTTGTACACCTTTTTCACATCTCCTTCTGGCCATCAGCAGGCCAAGCACATATTTGGCTTCTTCTATGGCTGCTCACGAATGAATCCTTTCAGTCTCTTAATCATTCTGGTTGGTCTCTGAGTTTCCTCCAAATCACAAATATCTTTCCAGCATTGAAGTGCTGGAATTAAATGCATTATTCACACAGATTCAGAGGGTGTTGTGAAACATCTATTTCATACGATGTGATGTCCCTTGGTGCTGGTCTCTCAGGATTAAAATGCCTTTTTGTTGCTTTTACCCAGCTCTGATGTCAGAGTCTCTCCCTTTGACTGCTAATCCTTAGATGTTTTGAGCTCACATCTTCCCCTGTCACATTCTTTTTATGATTCTTGGGTTTACACATTTCCTTCCTGAACTACTTTACTACAAACTTGCAAGATAGTTTTCAAAGGTAATTAAGCTCTTAAAATGTTGTTATGATTCACTGATTTGGTATCTTTTCAGGAATATTTAATTCAGCAAACAAAAACAAACATTGAGGGCCTACTGCATGGAAGGCACTGTACTAGGTGTTGGTGGGATGTGGGGCAAAAAATACAGGAATTACTAAAAGCACATCAGTTGTTCTCAGGACTTCTCAGATTATGCTTCAGAAGACTCCATTCATGCAATGCTCTAGAAAGTGTCACTCACATAGATCAGGGAGCAGCAAATTCTAGCTCATTGATCAAATTTGGCCTACCAAATGTTTTTATAAATGAAGTTTTATTGAAATGCAGCCATATCCATTCATTTACATATCATCTATAAATACTTTTGCACTAAAATGGCACAGTTGAGTAGTTGCGACAGAAACCAAGTGACCCACAAAGCCTACAACATTCTTCTCAGACCTAGAAAAAACAACACAGGAATTCATATGGAAACACAAACGTCCAAGAATAGCCAGAACAATCCTCAGCAAAAAAAACAAAGCAGGTGGTATCACAATACCAGACTTCAAACTTTACTATAAAGCTACAATCATCAAAACAGCTTGGTATTGGTACAGGAACAGGTATATAGATCAATGGAACAGAATTGAGATTCCAGAAGCAAAACCTCAATTCCTCAACCAACTCATCTTCGACAAAACCCCCACCACCTACCAGTGGGGAGAAGAGA